GCACACTGCAGAAATGTTTGTTTCACATGCTTCTACAACAATTATCATCCAGAAAATTGTGTTTCCGGAAAGCCAACAGATTGAATAATGTTAATAAAAACGACGCTTTTATTAACAAAATTGGCCTGTGGTAATGACGATTTTGTTTACACCTTATCGTCTTCTCAAATAAATTATAAATAAATGCTAGTATGAATCGCATGTATACACGAATATTTGAAAATAATTTTTAATAAATATAATAAATTAAAAAATAACCAAGAATAAAGTGAAAATTTAGTTTTAGGGGAAAAGAAATTAAACTTTACTAACGAGATTCGAGTCACCAGTCTCTAAATGTTGGAAATTCTAAGTGATTTGCAATTTTTAACCTCAATTTCTCAGTTAATTTTGAGTATTGTGCTGTACTGCTTGGCATGTCAGTCATTAGGGATGCACTACAGCCTCACCGAGTTTGATCAAAGTCATGCCACCCTCTTGTTACATTTTGGAAGATATAATCGATTAGTTATTTTCAAATTCAATATTATTATTAAATGCATTCGGCCGATTGCAGAGACAGGGTTTACATTAAACGACGTTTATCAACAGAACGACCTATAGCCGTTGGCTGGCTGTACCGCGGTTTAAAATGCGTTGCAAAGACGACGATCGTCTATTTCTGACCGTTCTCTAAACGTACTTCGGCAAAACATTGAATCTTACTTACTTCGCTATTACTCCCCTGTTTTAGGAGTCGTTCGGCCAATCGGGTTATTTCTTCGTGACGTCAGAAACGGTCGTCACGAAGAAATAAAATCTTAAGGCCGTCAAAATCATTGTTCGGCAATTAATGACAATCCATTTCGATATTTAATTTCGTCGCCAATACGATTTAAAATATAAACAAATCCATATTTAGAAAATTTATACCGAATTCGAAATTCGTCTTCGGAATAGATTTTTAAGGAATTATTTCTACATCTTATTACTGTCGCCCTTCGTAACTATCGAAATGAATAATTTTAAATATTTTATTATTAATATTACATTTTTTAATATCTATATGACTCGGAAATGCATTAACGTTTTATAACCGACACGATACTCGAATTGTAAATAAATGCATCTGATTTAAATTAAAATGAAGTTTTAAGTCTTCATCACCCATTTGAATGTCGAAATTGGAACATTTAAAACAAATTTAATGTATTTCATTTTGTTGTTTTTGCGCCGAGCAATTAATTAATGAATAATTTTGTCGATTCGTACCGTTTACAACATTTATCAAAGGAACGATATCTGTTTTTATCTAAACTTTTCCACGAACAAAGCTACCACTCGAATTGAAAAGCCCTCTAAACCTGCTGTCCACTGAGTCTAGAAAGTAGGTCAAATAACTTGTTCCTAATCGCTGTCTACATTGTGGCAGGCGAGAAACGCCGTCTCTGCAATGAAATTTTTCTGAACAGCGGTCTATCCGATCTGTAAACCGCCGTCGGCCTCTAAACGTTGTCTCTGCAATCGGCCCCAAAAGTTCATACCAACATCTTAGTGTAATGTTGGTAAAATCAACTATTAACATTGTGACGAGATAAAATTTAACTTTGATGATCCTCATGGTTCTAACCACTACTAACACGATTTGAGAAGAAAGGAGGCCTATATTCGAAATAACGACAGAATGATGACTCAGCTATTGTGTTAGGTGGTCTTTTTGGCAAGGAAAGAATTCACTCGCATTTTCTAACGGCATACAAACCAAGTGATTATCAAGACAAGTTGACGTGCAATTTCTTCCTTTTGCTAAAAATCGATGGTTCTGTCAACAGGACAATCCTCCCATTCACTCAGCAAACTCTACGTATAAATAGTTTTTCGCTAATGAGATGTCTATTAATTAGCTAGCTCTATCTCTTGATTTTAGTCCGATGAAAAAAATCTGCCAGACTGCATTCACGAAGTTATTTTAACCTAATTCCGCTTCATTGGCTAAGTTATATATGTATAAATTGGCGTGTTTGTGCCTATATTTCACTCTGCAGCCAAAACTACACATCGCGCATGAATGACATTTATGTGTGGTAGTAGCCCCAAGTCTCCCATGATGGTTGTGTCTCGATAGCTATAAGGGTGTGGGGGATATGGGGGTTGAAAGTGGTTGACTTCGAAAATGTGTGACACTTTAATGAGAACGTCCAGTTTTTTCTAGAAAGTTGCAGAATTTTGAAGAAAGTTCTAAAATTTTTTGGAATATCGTCGAATTCTCACACATATTCTCTGTCCTCACTCTCATTCTTAACCCCTACAACCTACCCTCTCTAATTTATTTTTAAATTAACTAATAATATGTTTATTCAGAATGCTTTAGAATGAACTAAGAAAATGCTTTGGAATAGTTGAGCACATGCTTTAGTTGATTTTCCATAAGTAAAAGTGTACGAATAACAGAAAAAAGTAAAAAGTAAATAGTGAAGTGTGAAAAGTAAAAATATAAAAAACAATGCCAGAGCGTAAGAAAGAATTTTTGCGGCCTCGAAACATATCGCGAAGGCAAAAGATGGCGCAGATAAATGAAACCACGGAAGAAAGAGAAGTATGTCTAACATTGCTAAGAGAAAATTATCAACAAAACAGAAATAATCAGACAGAAGAGCAACTTGAAAATTATTGGGAAACACATCGAATAAGAGAAAGATTACGTAGAGGAAGAGAAACAAGTGCACAGTTGGATGAAAGAAAAAAGCAGAGTACAGAGAGAATGAGTAACATTTGCATAGATGAGCAGGTTAACGCGCAATTATTAGAAATAACAGTACACTCTATAAATGTACGAACAAATAAAAACCCAGCGAAGCGGGTACTTGCAGCTAGTTGTTAGATATAATTTATTAACATATCCTTAATTTTTTTCAGTTAAGGTTGTAATATGCCTTTGTATTTTTGACACAGTCAAATTAAATGTAATTCTTTAAATTTATTGTTCCTTTTTTCTGTCCCAAAAAATGATTATTACATTTTTAATTTTTGCAAAGGTTATACATAACGGAGTTAAAGTATGACGATCAGAAAAATGACCGCCGAGATTTTTATATTTTTGGACTCAGGACATCGAAATATCGAAAAATACAAATTAATTTTCGGAAGTTTCTTCTACGTGGAACGGACTAAGTGAAGATTTTACATGTTATTTGCTTTTACAAATTCTTTTACAAAACTCATTCGTACACTTAAAACGAACGTTTTTTTCATTCTATAATAATCAATATAAAAAGCTTTTTATAAATAAAATCTCTAAAATCGCCATAGAAAATTTTAACTCTTAATAGGAAAGTTGTGTAATTAGTGAATAAAATTATTTTACGTGCACATTTGTGAAAGTTCAAATTATTCAGAATTAAAATATTTTTGCTAAGTGTTTAGTTTGAATGATTTCTATAAAAATCTATCATTGCCTTTATATTTACAGAATATATATAAATTTTTGTGCAATAATTGAACTGTAATTAAATACGTTATTGAGTCAATGATTAGAATTGATTAGTTAACGTCGAAAGCGCCTTCTTTGCTATTTACGTGGAAATTTCTGACGAATGAAAACCAACATTTGTATTACCGTCAAATCTGTGGTCGAGGTCTTTGCTACTTTTCTTTCTTTCGCACATTTTCGATTTCGTGTAATTCAGTGCCGATAAAATAACCGGCAAAAATACCAAAGCAGTAATAAAAGAAAATATAATAACCAAAAAGACTATTTTAAAAATCGTGACAAATATATAAGCCAATGGAATGGCTGAAGGTAACACGGCAATTATTGTAGTTGCACTACCTTGAAATATTGCAAATCCTACACAATCGATGCTATGACGAAGACGTTCATTGGAACCTTCAATGTCGCAATGTCTATAAGCGTAAGAAAGATGAGCAGAATAATCGACCGAAAAACCAGAGCACATGACTAAGACAATCATAGACACTGGTGATAATTCGACATCCCAGAGAGCCATATAACCCAAAGTGGAAATTTCTGTAGTAACAATCGAAAAAGCTACCGAAAACGTAACCACAACGTCTGACATAAAAACGAAACAAACAAAAATTACAATTATCACAATACTACTCAACAATTGTACAGTAAATTTTACATACAAATCAAAGTCATCGACACCATAATTCAAGAAGTGGTACGGAAACACACTGAAAGGCATTTTATCAGTGATTTTCCTTAGTCTCTGTAAAGTTATGAGCTTAGTCTGACAAAAGAATCTGCTTCCAACGATAGCTGTATAGTCAGAGTTGAAGGCAATATCATTACGGAATCGTTGTGCATAAGATTGACGTAGAAACATTCGGCGCAGAACTACAATAAAATCTTTTGTGTCGCTCATGTTGTACGAATTTACGATCGCAGACATTGAATCGTCTTTGACGAATTACACAAAACTTCGGAGCCAAGACTCGGTAAGAAAATCTGCAATTAATCCTTCTCTCTCCATTTCGGAGAAAAGTTTTTCTATTTGATTCTGAATTTCTACATCTGCATAATTTATTTCTTGATCGACAACGATTTGGATTCTGTATTCGTAATGCTTGAAATATTTAAAAACATTTTTATGATACTGCAAGTAATATGAATCGTATGCAGAAGAGTCGGATAATGATCCTATAATATCTGTTTTTGTCACTCCCCAAACTCCAAATGCCACGTAACCTGCCATGATGAAGAGAATAATTATCATGACATACCATAAGAATAAAATATTACCGAGCTTCGTCCAAATTGATGACGAAGGAGTGGTCATGTCTTTAGTAGATTTCCAAGAATCGGCGGTGAAGAGCATTTTTCGAATCCGTGAGTGGTTTTCTAGAGAGAAAAATTTATTTTTATTAGTGTCTTGAAGCGCTACCAAATGATACGTTATATTTTTACCTGTTTGTGTATTTATTTTCGTAAAGAATAAAGAATGTCTTTCTTGTTTCTCCGCATATCGAAAGAATGCCATGCATGCACCGATGAACGTTATCTTATAAATATAACAGAAGAGAATAGCAATCGAAGCGTATAAACAAAAATAAGATATAGATCTGAAAGGTGTAAACAGTCCTGAAATGAACGCTATGAAATTCTGTTACTGAAGTTACAGTAACAGAAATAGCGGATTCCGAATAAACTTCCGAGAGTCTGTCTGGAACGGTCTTCTGGGAATCGGTCCTTTTCCACGCAGCAAGAAAAACAAAAGCATCGTCCATGGCTACTCCTGAAATAAAAATTGAATTGAATAGTTATGATGAAAAAGTTAAAAAAATTAAGAATTATTGAATAACATAAACATTATACTGAACTAATTAAAATAATTTGTTTGCAATTAATTAAACTACAGTAAACTAGCGTTATCTCTTACATTTACAAAACGATTCATATCTATAATTTATTGGGTTGTTCGGAAAGTAGGTTCGATTTTTTTCCGTAGAAAAAACACATTTTTATAATAAATAAATATTTTTTTGAATTATATATCGACCATTTTGGTCAAATACCTGTTGTCATCGTTTCTGATCGTTGCTTACAAAAGCTGATCCAAGTGATTTTTGACATTGTGATTTCAAGTAAATGTCTTACAGTTAAAAAATATTTGTATAGACCGGAACAAGTAATAATCTGAGTGTGCTCGATCTGGCGAATATGGTTGGTGTGATAGCAGGTCCCATCTAAGTTATAACAGTTTCTGACGAGTTACCAAACTTGTGTGAAATTTGACATTATCGTTTTAAAACACTACACCTGTTTTGTTGATCAATTCTGGCCGCCTTTTCTGTTTGATGATATTTCTCAATTTGTCTACTCGATGGCAGTACACTTTCGAATCAATTGTTAAATTGTTTGGTAAAAGCTCCAAAAAAATTTCTTAAAATCCCACCAAAGAGAGCATCTCTCTTTAAGAACATGTGAAACTCATGTATCGAGCTTTGAAACGAAACCAATTTGTTTCAAGTAATCATAAACAGTTCAATTTGACTAATTTAATCTTTTGGTGATTTCACGTGTTGTTATTTGGCAGTTTGCTTCAATCGGTACGTTTATTTTGTTTTCATTGGCTTCAACTGGCCATCCAGAACGTGGTGCATTTTCAATATTAAAATTGCCAGAACTAAATCTTGTAATCCAGTTTTGGCACTGTCATTCTGTCAATACATCTTCTCCATACACGATACACAATTTTTTTTTCGCTTGAACAGCATTCTTATGTTTTCGGTAATAAAAGAGCAAAATATGTCGAAAATACTGCTTCCGATCTTCCATATTTGATGGGACACAAAAAATAAACAATTGCACGAAATCAAACAAATTTTTTTACAAATAAGCCTTAAAATGCTAGCTATCCAAATAATAATACGGTTTAGAATGAAAATGGCGGAAAAAATACGACTAATCCGTGTAGTGGTAAAAAAAACAAACTTACATTTCGAACGACCTAATATATAAACAAGAATACTTAAGATAAAAAGTTGAATGAACTGAAAATTTTTAATCGATAAATTAACCGAAACAAGACTTTCATTTTAATAACCGATTAAAAATGGTTAAATATTTTCTGGTGCAGTTAATTTTTACTGAATTAGATTTAACACGAATGTGTTATGTGAAATATTACAAATATATCTTTAATTACTGTAAATCTCGGAGCAAGCGACTCAAACAGATCGCATCAGCTAATGATATTTATCAAACGAAATCTTCAAGATCGAACATTTAGCGTGCTGTCATTTCTTCAACGTCACACTACGTCATACTCTTTCCCGAAAAGTAGGTGGTCCTTTTAACTAATTTCAGATCCAGCTTGTTGGTAGCCTCAAAGAAAGCAGATGAGGCAAAAATCGATTTTTTCCTCATTTGCAAGTTATCATCGAATTCTCAGCAAATAGTCCTCTTTCAAGCGGTCAGCTTCAAGAACCAATCAATTCAACACTAATTGCAACACACCCAGCGAGATTAAAGTTATTCTAATACAAGAATTAGTCTTCAACTTCCTTCTTTACTGTCCTTCAGCAAAAAAAATTCTTGCTCAATTTTAAAAGAAGAAAAAAGAAAGAAAAAAATGTTGTGTCACAATTCTGATACAGGAAAGGTTGAATTTCCTTTCTCATACCCCTTATTACAAAATTTAGAAAAACACTGGATGTTCGTCTTTTCTGCACATCCCCAAACACCTCGTTGACATATGGAAAATCCATAATTTTAATTAAATGAAATGATTAAAATATAGCAAATCATTTTCTTTGACCCGGGAGTTCGTTGGAGATCTTCAAAGAGTTAATATCTACTTGGTGGTCAGACTCCGAGAGCCAGCGCCTCGTCCAGAACCTTTTTCACCGAAGGGTTGCTGCTTTATACAGAGAGAAAGCCTTCTCCCACCATCAACAAAAACATGAGCCGAGATTAGACCAGAATCTCAACAGATTCAAATCATCACGAAGCTTCTATTCTTCTGGCGAGAACCTTAGAAGCTATATCTTCGAATCAACGACGAGTTAGTATACTTCGAGATTAATGTAAACTCTCTCTCTTCGCGTGATAGGTCTCGAATAAGTCGTTCTATAATACGTTTTATTTTATTTCCTTTTATTAAATATTTTTGTTATTAATTTAGCATAGTTTCATTCTTGACTCAAATCCGAGCTAACATTCATTTCAATTACTCGCGACCCTTCCATTCGAAATTCCTCTGAAACGACAACAAGCGTACTTAACACTATATCTAGGCTGGTGTCAGGAAAAACAAACTTGCAGGGGTTTATCAACGTCTTAAAAAGCCATCCTTCGACTCCGCGGGCCAATGCCAATGTTACCGATAGCGCCGCCGATTAAAAAGTGCAGAGACTAACCCAGACTCTCTACCCACCGCTAGCCTCTCACAGTAGCAAAGTATTGTAAAGCCAAAAGACATTTTTTATAAAAAGCAATAGAAAAATACACAACAAATGCGATAAGAAATAAATATAATAAATAAATAAACAAAATAAAAGCAATAGAAACATAAGAAAACAATACAATAAATATAGGCCATAAATTAGCGATTGGTGAAAAATCCTGTAAAATTATTTATATTATTATACAAACTTTTTATTACATTAATTTGTTATTAACAAGTAGATGATTATTATTTATATGGTTAAACTAAAAGGTAAAGTTTTAAGTAACTCTTACCTATGATTAAAAAGGGTATAGATCCAGCAGGAGCCACAAACGGTGTATTAAAATACATAATCAATCCAAATGACGAAGCCAAAGACATTCCTCCCGATGTTAACGCAATTATTCCTGTCCAAGGTTTGCTTTCGATCCAACTGTTATACAAACAGGTCAGCATTGAAAAGATTGCTACTGCTAATATTGCAATCGGTATTCGAGGAAATATTCGACTGACGACAGCAGATAACTCTTGTTCAATTGTAATCGATGTGTATCGATCGACGATTATGTACTGAAAATTACTGGATTCAATAAGATCCAAAAACAGATTTTGCCATTCTTCCACTTTGCTTTTTTGAACTTTCGAATAGTCGTTAAAGTAATAAACGAGTCGCAATACTTTAGCACTTTTAACGTAATCGTCTGCATTTTTTTCGACTCCTCTTAAAAATAGACTCGTTAACTGGAAATCGTATTTATTTTTCTCGTTAAAAGGATATTTGATGGAATAAGTGTTGTTTTCCATCATTTCGATTTCGTTTTGCATTAATAAAATAGAATTCTCGAAGCATCTCTTGTTATTTCTTGTACATAAATCTTTATATGTAAAATTCTCTGCAGTTTTTATATTTTGAACAGTTTTATCCAGTTGAATAATTTCTTGAAATACGTCTCTTCGAAGCACGGATCCTTCATCTTTTGCCCTAACTAAAAGTACTGCTATGTTAGGTTCTCTGTTCATCCTTCCCATGTGTGCATCGGAAGACAGATTCATTGGAAATAATTTTTCTATTGAGGCTTCTTCAATAATGTGTCTGGTATTTTTGGGTGCGACTAAATATTTTACATTCGTTTCTTCGTGCCACTTGTGAACACTCGTAGCTAATGCCACAGATACAATCACCGGAATGACGATAAAGTAAGAAGGATTTTTCCCAATATATAATCCTAATTGTCTAAACTTTTTCGATAAGAAAATATCGAGATATTTCACTTTCATAACGGATCTGAAAAATATTAATTTTGTAATGAATTGGTATTAACTTTCCATATATTAACTAATAACTAAACTATAATGTGAATTAGTTTATTAAGTCAAAAAAAATTTTGATGAATACCAATAATAATTTAAAGGAAAAACTGAATATTATGTTAATATCTGAAAGATGATAATAATTTTAAATAAACTAACCCAATTACTGTTGTGTACTAATTATTCTTAGATAATACGTATAGTAATATTTAAAACTCGATGTAAGTTAAATAATAAAAAGTTATATTATTAGCAACTAATATTCATTTATAACGAATTTAGGTGAATATGATGAATTATTGGTTGTTGTGTACAGTAAAACTCTAATTACCGGAATACAGATTATGTGGTTTACCCTTTGAATTTCTGAAAATAGAAATAAGTATGTATATACACTTGAACAATAGCCTATCTGTTTTGTTTTCTAAATGTAAAAAATAAAATATATTTATTTACAGGTACACTGTTTATTGCGTACAGTAAAACTACAATTAGCCGTATATATATTTTCTAATTTAGAAAATAGAATATACTTTTTACTCATACGTTTCCACATTTAATATTTTATTTGTACGTAATTGTGTACAATCGTTTATAACGGGATGTTTAGACAGAAAAAACACTGTTTTCTTCAAATTTTCGTTTTTAATAACACTAATTTTAAGTGGGATCATGTAAGAAGTACTGGGTGATTAATTACAGAACCCAAATTTAATACCAGCCAGATAGATATTTAACACTCTAAATGCAATCAAATTTCATACGGTGCCATTTAAAGATATTCAGAAGACATTTACAAAAAAAAATTCTTATTAATAAAACTCACTACTTTGGCAATTTTTGCGCTACTCCCAATAAGCTTTGTGTGTATACAAGATAATCACGCTATATAGAGACATTAGACAATGCAGGGGGGATGTAAACAAGTAATCATAAATATGTTTAAACAGTATTCAACAACTGATTCTCTGATATTCTCTCATTCAATGCGACACTATCTTTAAATTTGGCAAATTCTCAACATGTTCTCGACAAACCACTTTTTTAAGTGTCTATTGCTTTTTTTGTTGCTAACCATCACGATTCGTCTCGATTCGAATTTATTTAAATAGCATTTAAATGTATGCATAAGTTATAAATATAAAAGAAAATACAAAACTTTCTGTAAAACTTAATAAAAATTTATTAGAAAATGTCATTAAATATCACGTTAATTAAAAATATGCACTTTTACAAAGGTTGTTCAAAAAGTAAAGCACCATAATTTAAATCTGGGAAACGAAGACTGTGACTTGACTCCACTTTTCAGGAGTTTTACCCGAAAGCTTTTAATAACGTTGTGAAAAATTTAAAGAGCCTTGCCAGGCGAAACCGCAACAGCTTCGTTAAAAAAATGGCGAATACCAGTGACGTACAGTACGTTCCAAGCAGCATACAGTGATAAAATTCGTCGTTGCCAAAGTGGAGCTGTTAGAAACATTCACAAACGATTGTGTGGTGACTATGCTACTGCAGCCTGTCAACCGAAGCGCCGTGAGTCGTTGGGAAAAAAAATGTGCGAAGTCAGTGATAATAGGGCCCAGCAGTGGCCGAGCTGGCTTCGTACCCTAAACACTGGGAGTTCGGTCGTGGGTTCATGCCTTGCTCGAATGGGCTGTGCACGTGGAGCATTCTACATGAGGTTTTCTCCACGTCTATAACGCCAAAATAGGGGCAAGTTTTCCTTAAAAAACTTCACGGAAAGCATCCCAGCTATGCAGATTGCCCAAATGTTGCGTTGCAATAATTTAACAAACAACGACAATATGAATACCATATCTCTGCGATTTGTCGCCGCATCTGTAATGGCACTTATAGTGCAGCGCGTTGATTAACCGATTCAAGAGGAATCACCGATTACCGGGAGTGTTCGTCAAATCATGCGTAAACACGTGTATGTCAAAATGTGTTCACGATGGGTCCCGAAGCAGCTCACGATTAACCTAACAGCAGCAAAGAAAACCATCGCATACAAATTCTTGTAACGCTAGCAGTTCGATGTTGAAGAGTTCTTGGTTTGCATCTGATAACGCAAGCAAAGATAAAGTTCCAGTCAGATGAAGATGTTCTCAATGCTACGAGAAAGTGTTTCCATGCACAGAATTAGGACTGGTATTCGAGCTGGCAAGCGTGTCTTTCCTTTAATGATGACGTATGGCCAAATACAAGGGCGAAAACTTGGTTGAAAAATAACATGAGATTCCTACGTTTCATGATTGTATGTTTCAACCTACCATCAAAATAAATTCTGGTGTATTACATTTTGAACGAAACTTGTAGTATTAAACATTTTAATTACGATGATTTCGTATGAATATAAAAATTTTTTATAAACATAAGATAATAAATACGATGAACGATAAAAAAATTATGTAATATTCTGTTCAGTCATCAAGTTTTATGTTTAATCATGTTTAGCAAAATATTAATTGAGTAAACGTCCAATGTTAATTAAGATCGTCAATAAAATAATATATAATGAAGTTTTTAAAGTTCCGTGGAGGATTAGAAAACCTGTTCGTTATCTCCCGAACATATCTAAATTACAGATATTTTCATAAACATAAAAAGCTTTTATATTCTTTATGATCGTGACTAAATCGATTAGGAATCTCGCTAATTATCATCAAGTAATATCATGATTAAGAGAATTAAAAATAAATTATAATTATGTATTACTTATAAAGAGAAAATTCTAATAAGTCTTTCAATATTATTTTATTTTCAAGTTTCTGCGTTTATTGTATACGTGTGGTTAGCGTGAGTGGAAACAATGAGTAATTTAAACATTTAGATTATTCTAATTTTATTGGATTTTTGTTAATTTACAATTTATTTAATTCACTTCGTTAATATTTTGTATTATTTTGTAATTTTAACTTGACAAAATATTAATTAATTAAAATCTGTAAATTTAGAAACAGAAAGTAGTTATAAGTGATTTTAAAAATTTTCTGTTGATCACATTATAAATAAACCCAATAAAAATTTTCAAATCCTTAAATTGGTGTAAACATTACATAGCATTGAGTATAAACTTTAAATTCAATTTTAGAACTATTTTGATTACTTCATCTACGATTTAACATTATAAACATGTAGAAAATTCTTACTTTCGAATTAATGAAACATTCCATAATAATCAGTATTAAACTTAAAATAATAAAGCAGTAAATACAGCAAGATGGGTTGTATGATATAATAAATATATAACTGAATATTCTTACTTATTTTTACTATAAATTTGATACTGTCGTGCATGAAATAAGAAGAGAAACTAACTTCATTTCATCTGATTTTTCGCTATAAGTACATTAAATAATTTTCAGAATTACATACCTCTTTTGAATTCCTTTGTTACAGCAGTAAATATGATTGTCTATCAATGTAATTTTAATTAACAAGTTGATAATCCTAATTAATAAATGAAATTATGATTGGAGAATTATTCAGAGGGAAATGCGGCCATCGCAACAACATTTATTTCAACGCAATTTGTAAGTTTTTTTCAACCATAAACATTTGTTCACGTGTAACTTTGACGGTTTTTACGTGTGTGTCTTCTAACCAATAGGAAATTCATTAAAACAATCAAGATTTTTCTTTGCATATTTAATCTGAAACTTGTTTTAAATCAATTACAGTGTTACCTCAAGATACGAAATTAATCTGTTCCGAAACTGAGATCGTATCATGAAAATGTCGTAAGGTGAATCATTTTTCCCATACGATTACATGTAAAATCAAATAATTCGTTCCAACACGAAAAACACACTCAAATTAAAGCTAAGTAGTACATTTAAAAAAATAATAACTATAGTAAGGAAAACACTGAAAAATGCGTTTTGTAGTTGTAAATGTATAAATAACCATAATAGAATAATAATTGATTAAAAAAATGTAGTTTTATTTGCACTTTATCTTTGAGGATAGACGACTGGGGGTGTAAACTGATGGCGGAGAGAGGGAGAAGGGAAATGATACTAAAACTTAACTTACATAACATAATGTAACAATAACTTAAAAATAACTTAGAAAAGATTTAAAAAATTAGTGTTGTTTTATATATATATTTTAAAACTTTTATTCACTTCTTTTCGCTTTCTTTCCTTCACTTCCACCAGCACTTTCACTGGATATAAGTCGCATGGTAAAATATCTATCCAAAGAGGTTTGGCTTTCCTGCTTTTTAAAATGTTTCTAAAATTACTTAGGTAGATGTCATGACTCTGAGTAGCAAT